TAAATATAATTGTATTAGCAATAAGCAATTATTCCTCAGCGAAATACATGTAAAAATTGAGATTTTATTGTAATATATTATCAAGTGAATTCAACGATTCCCAACTCATTTAAATTATAAATCTTCCGAAGGTTCTTGGTTTTTGTTTAAGTAATTAACAAGCTTTAAACCTCACTCACTTTTCATAAAATTGATTCTCTCAAATAGTAGTTGAAATATTAAAAGTTTGTAGCATAAATGTTCCAATCTCTGTGGGACGATATCATAAACTATACTAGAATTTGACAAAGTACGAGCAGGAAAATCCTATACACATTGGGCTCGTCAAAATTTTTGCGCCATTACCGGGGATTGACATACATCTACTTCAGATTAAATATTTTGTTACTAATTTGAGACTTTATTATTGTTATATGTTACTATTATCACTATTTACTAAGTAGTACTGTAACTACTACTGTCATATTAATATTATCATTTTCTTTTCGTAACAGCACTCTAAAAAACACATATTAGTACTTCTTCCTAATATTGCTATCATTAGCTTTCCTTCATTGTATTTAGTATAATTATTATTAGTACTATCACTTGTTGTATCTGTTTTTTTCTCACTGCAAGTACTTCGACGTACTTCTATTTCTATTTTTCAATATAGTTTGTTCTTACATATTATTATTTTCTTATCATTGTTTTATTATTATTTTTTTGCAATATTTTATCATTATTATTAGTGCTTCTACAATATTATTCTCACTAGTACAACTTTTGTTTATATTTAATAATACTCTATTATCTCAATTCATTATTAGTATTACTACTAACGCTTAATTGTTAGTTTCNTTCACTAACTGTCTATATTCTCTTTGAAATTTTATTTAGTTTAGTTATAAATTAATAGCACTACATTAGGAATTAAATTTATTTATTTATTTACTTTCAAAATTTTAAGTAGTTTATGACTCGCTCTTCTACAAAAGAGTTGGCTAATTACGATACTGAAATTGAAAGATCTCTTCGATTGCGCAGGAAAGGACAAGCATTATCTTCTCAAAGCATAACTTATAACAATCCACTGGAGATTCCACCACCAGATCATGTAGAGGAGCAGTTTGATGAAGTGGCGCCAAGGCCAGCAAACAGAATCCTTGGGGATTATGCTAGACCTGATCGCTTCAACTGTGAATCTAGTGTCAGAAAGCCCCCAGTGGCAGCCAACAACTTTGAAATTAGGACCGGCCTGATTCAAACAATTCAACAACTTGTATCTTCACTGGCGATACAAGTGAAGATCCACAGAGTCATTTAATTGATTTTCTAGAACTTGTGAAAACTACTAAATACAATGGAGTACCTCCTGAAGCTATCAAGTTAAGGCTATTTCCTTTTTCTTTAAAAGGAGATGCTAAGACTTTGTTGTGAAGTTTGCCTCAAGGGTCCATTACGACATAGGACCAGATGACTCAGAAGTTTTTAAACAAATATTTTTCCCCTACTAAAACTACAAAGTTAAGACAAGACATATCTAATTTCTTGCAGACAGACACTGAGTCAGTTTATCAATCTTGGGAAAGATTAAAAGAAATGTAAAGAAAATGCCCGCACCATGACATTCCTGAACATATGCAATTGTACATTTTCTATTACGGGTTAAAACCCTCTGCTAGAAATGTGATAGATGCAGCTGCAGGAGGTTCTGTAATGGGAAAAACCACAGAGGAAGCATTGCAACTGTTGAATGAAATTTCTGAGAACGCTATCCAATGGCCATTCGAGCGTGTAATAATTAAAAAGGCTGCTACGGTAAATCAGGTTGGTGCCTTGAATACACTAACTGTCACGACCTGAAATTTCCCACCGACGAGACCATGAGGGCGCCTAACATTTCACTTGCTAGGCAAGCCAACGTTAGAAAATCGTTAAACCAATTCCTTATTTTCATTCAGTAAATAACAATAATTAACTAAGATGAAATATAATAAGTGCGGAATATCATAAAATTGTATTAATTACTATCACCCGAATCTGGAGTCACAATTCACGAGCATTCTAGAATTTACTGCAAGTAATAGTCTGAAAGAAATAGAACTTTTTGAATGAAAGAAAACAGTAGGACATAAAAGATAGACGGGGACTTCCAGGTCTGGGAATGCCGACATATCTATCTTGAGTCTTCGGAAAGCGGACGAGTAGCAAATATTGATCAACCTGAGCCAGTATCAAAATCTACACAAAAAGTGCAGAGTGCAACATCAGTACAACCGACCCCATGTACTGGTAAGTGTCGAGCCTAATATCGGCGAAGTAGTGACGAGGCTAGGACAAGACTCCCACATATAACCTGAACAATATAATCATGCTAGTGGTAACAACTGTAAGTAAAGGAATAACGCAGAAATAATGGGAAGGGTACATACAGTAGGGGAATACAACATAAAGAGTGAGAATAATGAAAAGACAGAATTAACCAGAAAATCCGTAAACAAATTAAGCAATTAAAACAGCAAAGGGAAAATTGCACGGCATCACCCTTCGTGCTTTTACTCTCAATCTCACCAAATAAATAAATAGAACGGCACGACATCACCCTTCGTGTTTTTACTCTCAACCTCACCCAAATAAGTAAATAGAACGGCACGGCATCACCCTTCGTACTTTTAAACCTCTCATAATATACACGGCATAACCCTTCGTGCTTTACACTCTTCCTCACAATATAAATAATGCATGCACGGTATCACCCTTCTTGCTTTACACTCCTCCTCACAAATCACAGAATCAATAACAACGGATAGATAAGAGTATCACAAAGAAACCAGTATTTCTCCCATAATCAATAGCACAATGTAATCTCAACCTCGAATCAATATTCAAAAATTGCCAAATCTCAGTGAAACCAAATATAAGTCACCCAACATTTCAAATAACCCGCTAAGCATGGATAGTAAAATTTAAGGCTACAAAATAGACAAGAATAGAATTTCACTCGCATGCTATGACTCGACAACGACGCATAGATGCTCGTCACCTCACCTATACATCGCATTTAACAACCAATTACGTAGCAAATGAACACATAATACCTATTCCCCCAAGCCAAAGTTAGACACGGCACTTACCTCGCTTTGAAGGCCACTTAATTCTCAATCACAGCCTTTTCCTTTGGAATTCACCTCTAAACCACTCGTATCTATTAAAAAATGACTCAATAATATCAAATATTGCTAAAGGAATCAATTATATTTCATAATTTAAATTTTCCAAATTTTCCTCCATAAAGTCGAAAAAATCGACCCCGGGCCCCCTTGGTCAAAACCCGAGGTTCAGACCAAAATCCTTTTACCCATTCACCTCGAACCCGAATATGTAATTAGTTTTGGAATCCGACCTCAAATCGAAGTGTAAATCCCCAAATTCCCGAAATCCCTAGTTTCTACCCTAACCCCTAATTCTACCATAAAAACTCTAGATTTTAGGTTGAATTCTAGTAAAATGAAGTAAAAGATTGAAAGAAATGAGTTAAGGAACACTTAGCTATAATTTGGGGAAGAAAATGTCTTTGAAAAATCTCCCTAGGCCTCCTATCCTTTTGAAAACGAGAAGAAAAATGGCTGCAGTCCGAATTAAATGAACTCACTGCCCAGCGACCTTTGCACCTATGGTGCTTTGGTCACACCTGCGCATCCGCACATGCGGACAAGATGTGTGCTTCTGCAAGAAAGGATTGGGCCAACTGGGGCCGCACCTGCGGACAGGGTTCCGCTTCTGCGGTCCCGCTCCTGTGGAGAAAAGTCAGCATCTGCAGAAAAATAAAGTCCAGGCCCGGGTCGCACCTGCGACCAAAGGCTTGCAGTTGCGGGCACACTAGATATGGTGCACCAGCAGCCTTGTTGAGGTTTGAACTCAACTCAAGCATCTCCCGAGTGGCACCCGAGCCGTCGGGGCTCCAAACGAAACATGCACGCAAGTCTAAATATATCATACGAACTTGCTCGTGCGATCAAATCGCCAAAATAACACCTAGAATTACGAATTTAGCACCAAATCAAATGAAATTCTCAAGAACACTTTAAAATTCCTATTTTCTCAACTGGACGTCCGAATCACATCAAATCAACTTTGTTTCTCACCAAATTTCACAGACAGGTCTTAAATATCATAATGAACCTGTACCGGGCTCTTGAACCAAAATACGGACCCGATAATAACAATGCCAAATATCAATCAATTCTTAAAAATAAATAATTTCCAAACTTTTAATTTTCATCAAAAATTCATAACTCAAGCTATAGACCTCTGAATTTTATTCCGAGCATACGCCGAGGTCTCACAATTTGATACAGACCTACCTGGACTGTCAAAGCATGGATCGGGGCTCGTTTACCAAAAAAAATTGACCGAAGTCAACTAAAATCAACTTTTAAGGCCAAAATTCTTATTTTCATTAGTTTCCAACATAAAAGCTTTTCAAAAACCTGACAGGATTTAGTGCACGCAAATCGAGGAGGGTAAAATGAGATTTGTAAGGCTTAAGAGCATAGATTCGAGTTCTAACACATAAGATGACCATTTGGGTCATCACATTAACGCATCAGATTGTTTCTTTGGCACAAAAATTTGAATCTTTTCAGGTGAATACACAACAACCAAACCAATCTGAGGCTTGTGATATGTGTGGAGGAAACCACCAGAACCAAGAATGTCAAGCAACCAATGAAATAGATGAACAGGTTAATGTCATCGATTACAAGCCATATCCTTTTGGGAGTCCAATGGCACAAAAGCATCCAGGATTTCAGTGAAGTAACCCCAATAGTGCAAAAAACTCTCAAATTTTCTAGAATCAACAGGTGCAGGGCCCGCCGGGATACCAGAATCAAAATCGTGGGCAACCGAATTACAGACCTTATCAGTAAGAAGGACCATACCAGCAGAGGCCCCGACAAGTTCATACAATTCTTGATGACCTTTTGTAAAAGTATATTAAGGTCATTGATGAAAAGATGGAAAGCCAAAATTCATCCCTCAAAAATCTGGAAATTCAGTTAAGCCAATTGGTGGCTCTTGTGTCAGAAAAGATTCAGGGTCCCTTACCAAGCAATACAGAGAAAAATTCAAAGGAGCACCTTAAGGCCATCACTTTATGGTCAGGTAAGGAACTTGATGAACTTTATGCAGACAGACAAGAAAAGAACCAGACAGAACAACAGGTAGACAAAGGTAAGAATATTGAAAAACCATCTGAACCATCAAAGGAGAAAGAAATAACGAATAAGGAAGAAAAAATTTCTGAAAAAATGACTGCCCCACCTGTGACAATTCCTTTTCCACAAAAAATGAATCGAGAAAAACTTGATGGTCAATTTGCAAAGTTTTTGGAATTCTTGAAACATATTCATATTAATATTCCTTTCACTAATGCTTTGTTGTAAATGCCTTTATATGCTAAATTTTTAAAAGAAATTTTGTCAAGAAAAAGGAAATTGGAAGAAGTTTCTGTGGTAATGCTTACTGAAAAATGCAGTGCTATACTTCAAAATAAGCTACCACAAAAACTTGGTGATCCTGACAGTTTTACCATTCCATGCACATTGGGAGGAGTATATTTTGAAAAAGCACTTTGTGATTCTGGAGCTTCAATAAATTTGATGCCATTTTCTATCTTTAGAAAATTGGATCTTGGTAAAATGAAGGACATAGGTGTTTCTCTTCAGTTTGCAGATCAAAGTACTAAGAAACCTAAGGGAATAATTAAAAATGTGCTTGTAATAGTAGATAAGTTTGTGTTCCCTGTAGATTTTATAGTGCTTGAAATAAAAGAATGTCCTGATGAACCAATAATTTTGGGTAGACCATTTCTTGCTACAGGAAGTGCAATCATAGATGTTCATCAAGGGCAGCTAATTTTGAGTGTTGATGAAGAAAGAGTCATTTTTTATATGCAAAAGATAATAAGATTTTCAGGAGATGAGGCATCATCTTCATGCTTTTCTATTGACATGATTAGTGATCTTGCAGATGAATTCAAAGATGATCAATTAATTGCTGACTAAATGGAAAGATGTTTGACCAAATCAGGCACTACACAAGATGATGATCCCACAATCAGCAAAGAAGCTGAAAGACTGGAAAACGATTCCAAGGATAAAGAGATGCAATCAGAAGAAGTTCAACCAAAAATTGAACTCAAAGTTCTCCCTTCTCATTTAAAATATGTTTATCTTGAGCAAGAATTATTTCCAGTAATTATTTCATCTTCTTTGACTACAGAACAAGAAGAAAGACTAATACAAGTCTTAAAAGCACATAAAAGAGCTTTAGGTTGGACTATAGAGGATATCAAAGGGATTAGTCCATCAATTTGTACGCATAGAATCCTCATGGAGGATATCTACAAGACAATAATCCAACCCCAAAGGAGATTGAATCTTGCAATGCAGGAAGTGATGAAAAAGAAGATTGTCAAGCTTTTAGCAGCAGGTATTATTTACCTAATTTCAGACAGCCCTTGGGTAAGTCCAGTTCAGGTAGTACCAAAGAAAGGAGGTATGACAGTTATAAAGAATGAAAATAATGAACTCATACCTACGAGGATTGTTACAGGATGGAGAGTCTGTATTGATTATAGATGTCTCAATGATGCTACCAGAAAAGATCATTTTCCTTTACCATTTATTGATCAAATGTTGGAAAGAATTGCAGGATATGGTTTTTACAGTTTTCATGATGGCTATTCAAGGAATAACCAAATACCAATTACACCCGAAGATCAGGATAAGAAAACTTTCACATGTCCTCACGGAACATATGCCTACAGGAGGATGCCATTTGGTCTGTGCAATGCCCCTGCTACATTTCAGCGTTGCATGTTAGCAATTTTTTCTGACATGACTAAAAAATTTCTTGAAAGTTTTATGGATGATTTTACACTCTTTGGCAAAACATTTGAAGATTGTCTTTGCCACTTGACTTTAGTTCTTAAGAGATGTGAAGAGACAAACTTGATTCTGAATTGGGAAAAATGTCATTTTATAGTTACGGAAGGAATTATTTTAGGACATAAAATCACTACTGATGGAATAGAAGTTGATAAGGCTAAAATTGATCTTATAGAAGGATTACCCCCTCCCACAACTATTAAAGGCATTAGAAGCTTTCTAGGTCATGTAGGTTTGTACAGATGGTTCATAAAGGATTTTTCAAAGATTTCAAAACCTCTAACTAACCTCTTGATGAAAGATGTTAAGTTTGATTTTTCAGGTGATTGTATGATAGCTTTTGACACCCTTAAGGAGAAATTATCAACTGCCCCTGTAGTTGTGTCCCCTGATTGGAGTCAGCCTTTTGAGGTTATGTGTGATGCTAGTGATACGGAAATTGGAGCTGTGTTAGGCCAGAGAAAGGATAAGATTTTTCGTTCCATTTACTATGCCAGTAGAACACTAAATGAGGCTCAACTGAATTATGCCACAATAGAAAAAGAGTTACTGGCAGTAGTATTTGCATTTGATAAATTTTGTTCTTATTTGATAGGAACGAAGGTCACTGTTTTTCTGACCATGCAGCATTAAAATACCTCTTAGCAAAAAAGGATGCTTGACCTAGATTGTTGTGATGACCCAAAAGGTCATCTTATATTTTAGAACATGAATTTGCGCTCTTAAGCCTTAAAAATATCATTTTTACCCTCCTTGATTTGCATGCACAGTCCGGGCGTGTTTCTGGAAAACTTTTATGTTGAAAATTGATGAAAATTAAGAATTTTTACTTTAAAAGTTGATTTTAGTTGACTTCGGTCAACATTTCTGGTAAACGTGCCCGAATCCATATTTTGACGGTCCCGGTGAGTCCGTATTAAATTATAGGACCTGGGCGTATGCCCAGAATCGAATTCGAAGGTCCCTAGCTCGAGTTATGAATTGTTGATGAAATTTAAAGTCTGAAAATTAATTGTTTTTAAGAATTGGTTGATGTTTGGCCTTGTTGATACCGGGTCCGTATCTTGATTCCGAAGCTCGGTATAGGTCCAATATAATATTTAAGACTTGTCTGTGAAATTTGGTAAGAAACGGAGTTGATTTGACGTGATTCGGACGTCCAGTTGAGGAGTTAGAAATTTTAAAGTGTTCTTGAGAATTTCATTTGATTTGGTGCTAAATTCGTAGTTCTAGGTGTTATTTTGGCGATTTGATCCCGCGAGCAAGTTTCTATGATATTTTTAGACTTGTATGCATGTTGGTTTGGAGCCCCGAGGGCTCGGGTGAGTTTCGGGTAGGCCACTGGATGTTTTGGACTTTGAAAAATCTAGTTTTCTACAGATTCTGGTGTTCTGGCATGTCCTTCTTCGTGTTCGCGAAGGTCATCTCGCAAACGCGAAGAGTAAACTGTTGAGGCCGGAATTTTCTTCTTCGCGAACGCGAAGGCTTAGTCACGAACGTGAAGCGATGGGGGCATTACCCTTCGCGAACACGACAAGCTCATCGCGAATGCGTAGTGTTAGGCACTGGGGGGAATTAGCATTTCCTTCATCAAGAACACGAGCAATGTCTCGCGAACAGTGTCTCACGAACGTGAAGGCTTGGCAGCCAATGCTCTTCGCAAATGCGATAGTGGCCTCGCGAACGCGATGCACACTATCGCACAGCACTTAAAACAGAATCAAACACGAGTTTAAGCCATTTCTTCAACATTTTTCAAGAACCAATTGGGTAGAGGCAATTTTCAAGAGTCATTTTCTTCCCCAAAGTGTTGGTAAGTGATTCTAAATCATTTTCTTTCAATTACCCATTACATTTTATGAATTATCAACCAAAAATCTAGAATTTTCATGGTAGAATTAGGAGTTAGGGTAGAAACTAGGGATTTCGGAAAATTTGGAAATTTAGACCTCAATTTGAGGTCGGATTCCAAAACTAATTATATATTCGGGCTCAGGGGTGAATGGGTAAAATGATTTTGGTTCGAACTTCGGGTTTTGACCAAGTGGGCCCTGGGTCAATTTTTCAACTTTTTGGAGGAAAATTTGAGAAATCTAGTTTATGTAATATAATTGATTCCTTTTGCAACATTTGATAATATTGAATCATTTTAGAATAGATACGAGTGGTTTGGAGGTGAATTCCAAAGAAAAAGCTGTGATTGAGAATTAAGTGGCCTTCGGAGCGAGGTAAGTTTTGTGTCTAACCCTGACTTGAGGGAATTAGGAACCTTAGACTATTTCCTATGTGAAATTCATGTGAGCGGCATATATGTGAGGTGACGAGTACTTATGCGCCGCCAAATTACCTGTTTTTCCATGTTTCTTCCATTTTACTTACATTGTCTCTTCCTATGCCTAATTGTTATGTGTTTATACTAGTGTTGTTAAATTGATCGTTCTTATTATGTTTACGGATTTTCTGGTGATAATTGAGTATGATTGATATTGTGGAACCAAATATTGAAGTAAGGCTTGTACTTGTTATTCTATCTCCCTGTTGTTATTTATGCATATCATTATGGTAAGGGAGAGTGTTAATGCACGAAGGGTGATGTCGTGCCATATTGTGAGTGTTAATGCCCGAAGGGTGATGCCGTGTCATATTGTGAGTGTTAATGCACTAAGGGTGATGTCGTGCCATATTGTGAGTGTTAATGCACGAAGGGTGATGTCGTTCCATATTGTTAGTGTTAATGCACGAAGGGTGATGTTGTGCCATTTCTATTGATTTTATGGTGAGATTGAGAGTAAAAGCATGAAGAGTGATGCCGTGCATTTTTCCTTTACTGTATTCGTGTTCCTGTTGATTCATAATATGTTGATTGATCCAGTTATCATTCTGTTGTAGTTCTTTATCTCGTATTTCCCCCAACATACTTTCCCCTCCTGATATCTCCTGACTAATTCTTCATTACTGTTATTTGTATATACATTGTTAAACTGTACAGGTTGATTTGTAGGTGCCTTGCCTTAGCCTCCTCACTACTTCATCAAGGTTAGGCTCAACATTTAACAGTACATGGGGTCGGTTGTGCTGATACTGTACTCTGCACTTTCTGTGCAGATTTTGGTACCAGCTCGGGTTGATCGAGATTTTTGCTATTGAACCACTATCGAGAGACTCAATGTAGATCTGTCATCGTTCACAGACCTTGAAGTCCCAGTCTATCTTTTTGTTCTACTATTTCTTTCATTCAGACTGTTGTATTTCTTTCAGACTATTACTTGTAGTAAATTCTAGAATGCTCGTGAATTGTGACTCCAGATCCGGGTGGTAGTAATTGATACAGTCTTTATATTATTCTGCACTTTATTATATTTCATCTTGGCTAATTATTGTTATTTACCAAATGGAAATAAGGATTTGGTTTAATAATTCTCTAACGTTGGCTTTACTAGCAAGTGAAATGTTAGGCGCCATCACGGTCCGGACGGTGGGAATTTCGGGTCGTGACAAATTGGTATCAGAGCCCTAGGTTACATAGGTCTCACGAGTCACGAGCAAGCTTAGTAGAGTCTGAAGGATCGGTACGGAGACGTATGTACTTATCTCTAAGAGGCTATAAAGTTTAGGAACAAATTTCACTTCTATTCTCCTCTGTCGTGCGATGTTGTTTTCTCAATACTGATTGAACTCTTCTAATCGTATTCTCTCGCAGAAGACGAGAACACGTACCGCTTTGTCAGTTGAGCAGCAGCCATAGCCTCTAGTGGAAAATCCTACGAGGGGCATAGGTCGAGACAGAGGCCGTGCCATAGGCCGACGTAAGGGCAGGGCTCAGCCCAAAGCCCGAGCAGCAGCCCCAGCAGTGGAGCCTCAGATAGATCTTGATGAGGCGATTCCATCTCAGACTATTCCTGCCGGACCAGCTTAGGTTCTGGAGGGGTTCATTGCCACCCCAATACTTCAGGATGCTTTGGTCTGTTTGGTGGGCATTATGGTGAGTGTGGCCTAGACTGGCACATTTCCCATGGCACCAGCAGTCTCTCAGGCTGGAGGAGGGGCTCAGACTCCCATTACTCCCTGCTCCGGAGCAGATAGCTCCCCAGTATTAGGCTCCAGAAGCTCATCCA